TTGCTCTCAGTTACAAGTGGTTACACACAACAATAATGGAAAAGGGACGACTACTTATAGTCTGTAGTCCATGTGATGTGTCACTATATGAACGAGGACTGCAACATTGTGTAACTTTACAACTATCAGTGATGTGTTCTGCAGTCAAATCCTACCGAGGGATCCAAATAAGCTTGTATTGGCTGCTTACTGATTTACTTTGCCAACTATATTACTCTTTCAGATGGACTAAGTGAGAGTAATTAAAGAAAAGGGCTCTGCTTCTGCACCAAACATGTAACAGTGACTGTATTGTTAAAATAAGATGCTTCTGGGTCTCTGAATGAAATGTCAAGAGACTGAAAAAGAGACTTAAACCCTTTTATTCTCAGCATGTTCCATAACTGCTGGCTGTAAACTCCAAGGCTGTTTTCAACACTTAGAATCTGATCTGCAATAGACAGGAATGTTTAATGCAGAACCCTTAACATTATCCCAAAGTTTGTAAGACCTGCCGGCCCTGAATGCGCCTACTTTGTTTCTTTAAAGCTGAAATGATTGAGTGAAATGGGCTGGGCCAAGACTAGTAAGGATAAAAGTCTCAGGAGTGACTGAGCACAGGAGGAAGCACAAGGCCAGACAGGAAAGTGGCAATATTTAAACACGACGGCCTTCAAATGACCACTGGAGGGCGGTATTAACTCAGTCATGGCCATTTCAGAGGTCTGGATTATATGAATGACATTAATTTGCTCCTTTTGTAAGTGTTCTGTTTTTACCAGCCCTGTGAGTTTATGAAAGCACAGCAGAGGACAAATGGCCATTCAGTCTTTCAGCTGAATTAAGATCAATGAACCAAACATAAGAGCTACATTAAAAAAATAAAATAAAAATCTCTGTATTTGGAACAAACTAAACTGATGGAGTCACTGCCTCCATGTGCTGTTATTCTAGACCTGCTCACATTTACTGACTGGTAACGGACAAGGGAGTAAAATATAGAGCAGAGGACAGATTTCCTAACATCAGCTGGATTTGCTTGGTTTCTTTTTGACATGTACAAACACGTCTGCACTGCAACCTGCCCATGCAAAGATCCTTCCCTTTCCACTGAGGTCTATGGCAGCAGTGGTAGAAGTAGTTCTTTTTCTTCTCAGCTTTTAGAAACGCTTAAAATTGAGGAGGAAAAAGAAATTAAGGGGGGATTTTTAAATTCCCAACCTGTCAGAAATAATAGCTACAACAAATCTTGGTACTAGCATGAATTTTAAAGAGGTCCCCTCCCTCCTTTATATCATTGTCCTCTTCAAGTATAGACAGTACATGGGTAATAAGCCTCAGTCTGTCTCTCTTATCCTTAAATACTTTCCACGTCTGTCGAGCTAACTCAGAGAGGCCTGGAGGGCAGACTATTCAGGATTCTTAATTTCAGTCTCTGGAGCAGTTAGGCTGCTCTTTATTCTGGAAAAAGAATGAAGCACTACATGGTCATTTCAGGGCTACTTCTTTTTCTTCCTCATCACCTCTGCTGGACTTCTTGTCGCCGGCAACATACTCTACTTTATATTTGACACTTTATGTGTGACATTGGTGTAAAACAATGAGATCATGATTGCACTAAACCCTGCAGACACACAACATGAAACAGATCTGCATCCCATGACCTCCTGATCATTTACTAGAATCTGTTTCCTCCCTACTCTTGAACTGATTGTCTCCCTGCATGGACAACACTTTGGCAGAGTGGATAACATTGCCACCAAACTATATATATAAATATTTGTTTTTCTACTTGCAGAGATCAGAGCTACAACATGCAGTTTCCTAATGCATGGGGAATTCAAACTCTGGAGAAAATTAGAGGGTATAAAATAATGATATTTGCAGCATGTGCTGCAGACCACAAGCTGCATTTACGCACGTTTGCCACTAGATGGAGCGCCTCGTCTTTCTACAATACAAACAGCACAGTCGTTTAGCCAGTTAAATGTACAAGGATGTGCTTTTGAGCAGATTCTCTATAACAATATCAAACTCCACGCCTGTTTGATTTGACTATTACTGAGTTTAATTCTGCAGTCGTCCCTGTTTCACACACTCACATCCAGTCACCCTCCTCATTTTACAGACTGGATTATTATTGGCTGTTCATGAGCCAATTAAAGCAAAGCAAAAGCAGCATCGAACCACCTGGTGAACAGCTCGTGTGTAAACTTGCACTCATTTAGTTGGAAATCAATACAAAAGCAACTGAATTAATGCAGTGTTGTGAGACCTTTCCGCCTACCTGATGTGACTGAAACCTGCAGCAAAGAATCTCAGCCAGGTGAGCAAACACTTCAAGTCTGATGTAGGAATGAGAAGAAAGGCATCATGCTTTGACCGCTGACTTTAGAGGGTTTTGTGTTTTCAAAGTACAGTTTTTCCAAGTTGGTAAACATATGCTGAAACTGTTAAACTGAGCAAGCACGTTAAAGCATGTAAGTGAAGATATTTTATGGGCGTGATTACAATGTTTTAGGACTGTAAAATAATTTAATCAACAAAAAATTGCAATATTTTGCAAAACAGTAGGTTCTTCTTGTTCTCAGCTAGAATAAAATCTATATTATTATACATATTCCATTCAGTTTTATTTATATAGCGCTGTTCACAACATATATCCTCTCACAGCGCTTAACATAAAGACCTTGTGAATTTTTAGTCACATGTAGTGTTAGGGTTACAGTGTCTTTTCTGTTTTAATTTTAGCTTAATAATTTTAATGTAAATGTTGTTTTCTTTCTACAAATGGATTGTACCTAAACCGTTTGCTATTATTTTAGACACTGCATTTATTCTCATGTTATTGTATTTTTTTCCAAGCATTATATAGCACAAGAACTTCCTTTGGCTTATACAATGTTACATATATATTTATTATAAATGATTGTTTCACAATAAATTCTAAATTATTACATTATTATGAGTAATATTTAGTTTAGAACATTTCTGACCAAGTTTTATTTCATGTTATGTGCACATTGTATATACAGAGGGACCACAGCTGTGGACGTGTCAGAACTGTTACAGAACAAATGAGAAAAACTAAAGTTTTTGTTAATTGATTAGGATGATGTTTCTGAGTAACTACATCTACATTTCAGTGTTCGTGTCACTAATCATCGACCCGGCGGAGGTGAGTAAATCAGTAACTGCATATCTGTTAGCCTTTGTGTGCATACGTGTGTGTGTGACTTTGAAACAAGGCCCATTTAGGCGGCATATATGTTTTTAATTAAAGCAAATATTTGGCGCTGTAAAGGTTTTCGTGTGCTAGTGTAAATATAACTGCACTTACAAGCAGCTGAGCTGCTCACTTTATTGATACCATGACAAAACAACGAGTGTGTCCCTGTGTGAACTGGGCGTGAGCACCAAAACACACAGTTATCAGATTCAGCTGGCAGAGCCAGTTAAAGGCAGACGAACATCACGACTGTTGCACAGTCTTTTGAAACTCCACATGCTGTCTCAGGCAATGTTTAACTTGTATTTGTACATATTATTCACTGCATGATGCTTAACTGGGAACTTGTTGGAAATGCCACTAACTGCTCTGCTCCTGTGTAGGTTGCTTTGAAGTAAAAGTGGTGGCTGTTCATTCAGAGTAAATCAGCCTCCACAACTGTACAGTAGAGTCTAGCTGTGACTATATTTGTCCTCCCTTCCTTCTCTCTTTTGCAAGGGGACAGGAGAGTCAAGAGTTGGACGGCTGCCAAAAGAGGCCGGCCCGCCATGCAGCTGAAACTTTTACAAGCCAAGCAGGAAGAGACACAGGGAGCGATCGAAGAAGAAAAGGAGGAAAAGAAAAAGTGAGAGAGACATCTGAGCTTCTTTCTCTCCCTCTCCCTTTCTCTCTCCTCTCTCTCTCTTTTCTTTTCTTAGTTCTTGTTAAAGCCATACTGTATTTGCCCGCCTTCGTTGGCAGGGGGTAAATGTAGGGCTCGAGGACAGGACGGGAGGTGGTGGTGGTGCGGGGGGGGGGGACTTTGGGTTCAGAGAGTTCAGCTGAGGAGAGAAATAAATTCATAAACAACAAAGGAGACGTGACGTCAGGTTGAGGGGCTGTCCAACCTGCTGGCTGAATCTGAGCCTCCATGGAAGAACCGGATTGTTCGCACCACATGTGTGTATGTGTGTGTGTGTGTACAGTATGAATGTGTGTGTGTGCGTGTCCATTGTCCTATCTTCGAAAAAAGACTTGTGGAGTTTGAGCAAAGAAGCTGGACTATTGTGGTCTGTTTTGTCTCGGCGGTGGGCGTCTGAGGGCTGGGAGAACCCTCAAAAAAATGTGTGTGTTGGTGTCTCTTTGGTCAGTTTGAGGACTCAGCAGCTATTATGACAGCAGCTGCAACGAGGAATCGACCGTTTTCACTCGCCAAAGACAACACACGCTTTTGCTTTTTGTCCTTATGTGGTCGATGGTAAGTTGTTGTTGTTTTTTTTTCCAAAGAGAAAAATTTGCTTGCAATTTAATGGCGAAAAAAGTGTTCCTGCTTTTTTAGAATTACACTCCGCACTTTGAAAATGACATCAGCCCAGACGTGCGCTCCGATTGGTTGGCTCGGCTTGGGATACCCGCTCGGGCGCCGGCGATTGGCCCGCGAGCAGGCTATAGAGAAGGTCGGCCATTTATGAACAGATGGATTTATGTTTTCTCTCCTAATGATTGAGGTCATCTAGAGGCGACAGCTTGCTGATCCAACATCTGCATTGGTGTTCAGCTCTCATGCTGGTGTGAGAAAAGCAAAAAAAAAAAGGGGGAACCTGGGAAAGATGCCAAAGGCTGGAGAGAAGGAAAAAAAAAAAAAAAAAAGTGACATTGCTCATTGATTCATTTAGCTGAACTCCCTCAAACCCCTCCCACTCAGGAGGGCTGATATTATCCCCGATGGAGGGAGAGGACGAATTGAGGGGAGGATGGAGGGAGACGCGGAGAAAAACAGGCAGAACAGAGATGTCAGAAAAAGACAGTAAGTCTGCCGGGACTCCTTCTTTTTTTTTTTTGGCAAGAGAACTTGACAACAAATGTCCAACAGCTTAAGAGTTTGAATCTCGAGCCAGTTCGGGGCTTCTTTTTGTTGAAATTTTTTTATCTATTGATTGTACAAAAAAATATGGTGAGATGGAACAATATGGCAGAAGTGTTGGGATCTGCTCGTCTCTTTCGCCATCTGTCTATTGCTGCAGGATAGTATAAGTAAGGCGAGGGATGTGTGGGGTTTTTTTTGGATGCTGGATGATTAACATGCAAATTTTCGCGTTTGCTTCCGAGCCGCTGTCCCACTGTTTTGTGTCACCGTGGCCGATGGCGACAGTTTACACTTCCCCTCTTGTCTTTTTCTTGTCTTTCCATGGCACACTCTCTTTCTTAACTCTTTTTCTTGGACTCCTCCTCTTTCTGTTCCTTCTCTCGCTACAGCGTATCCCTCCCTTCCTCTTTCTGTGTCTCTACAACCCCCCCTCCTCTCCTCTCCTCTTCCTCCTCCTCTCGTCCTTTTTCTCTCCTTCCCTCTTGGCAGCGGTGCCAAAGTGGGCAGGCAGACCGAGGCAAACACAGCACAGGGCAGAGCAGAGGGCGATCCAAAGGCTGGCGAATTGATTATGTGTATGTTTGTGTTTTGAACTGTCCTGCGTCTGCGTGTTCGCGTGTGTTGACTCTGTTTTTCGGTCGTACGCAACCGCAAGTAATGTGAGTGTACTGCGTGTCTGTTTTGGAGCTCTTTTTCTTTTTTTTTTGTGTTGTTGTGCACAGTGTGTTTGATACTGTGGTTTGTGTGTGTGTGTTACAGGGCTGTGTGTGTGAGCAGACGTCCCTCTGTCACCCCGTGTACGGACAGACGCACTCACGCCAGTAGGAGGGGATTGTGGGAAGGGGGTGTAGCTCTCAGAGGGTGTGCTCTACTCTTCTCTTTTCCCTTCTTCCCGCCATCACGGCCCTCTTCTCCTTCAGTCCTCCGGCCCAGCCCGCCGCTCACATACAGGCTCCAGGTATTTTTCTTTTTTATCCTGCGACACCTCTTCCCGTCTTTTTTACTGCCCTATAATCTGTCTCCTCTAGTTCCTCTCGCCCTCTTCTCTGTCCTTCATCACGGTCTTCCTCCTGTAAACGTGTCTATCGTCGTCGGTTGCCACGCCGCACTCTGCTCGGCGCCATTTTGGCTCAATGGACACAACAGGAGAAACTTTTCTCGAGCTCAGAGTGACTCTGACTCCCTGCTGACCATCTTCTTTCTCCCACTTTCTTTACCTCTTTCTGTCTCTCCCTGTCGCCCTCTGCCTCTCCCCTCTTCGCTCTTGGACAGCAGGCGCTGACAGGGCGGTAAACAGTTTTGCTGTGGCTTTCTGTGCTGAACAGGTGTCTCTTTGGAGACTGGCAAGAGGCTACTGTCTGACCTCAGGGGGGTCGACCGAGCTAGAGAGCTGTTGTTGTGTTCAGGTCGGTATAAGTTTAGCCGCTGACCGGTGCGAGGCAAGTGTCACGTCTCTTATCACCCGGAGCTGTCATGATAGGTAATACGAGGGCAGGGTTTACTTTGCTTCTTATTCTCTTCACACACTGTTTGCACTTTCTGCCACTGTAAAAACGCAGATATGTGGCGGTTGTCTCGAGGGAACGTGTGCGTTTGTGCAAACACAAGTTTTTATCGCTGCGATCTAGAGGTGTGGCCGTGTGTTGGAAGGTGGTAACTGCAATGTTTGTCCTGGATCACGGTGCTATAGGCTACTGTACATATGACACTTTACACTCAAGGTAGAAATGAACCTGAGTTAGGCCAAACAAACACACAATGCCGCAACGAAAAGGGCAGGTTGTTAAGCCAATGTCGCAGTTTCATGTTGCCGTTCTCCAGTAGTTCTTTTACATTTATTTTTTCAATCAAGCTGTTGATTTGTCACCGCTAGCGTTGACGATGAAAAAGCGTACATGTGAACAACAGCGTTTATCTCGTGGGTACGTATCTCAGTCGGTCCCAAGAAAAACAAACATGTCGTTTATATTCAATATTTTTGATTACAGCCAAATGACTTGACAAGAACGCCACAAAACAAAAGCAAAATATTGATGTTGCACTCGAATTAGATGAAACGTAATGTTAACCAACAAATGATTCGGTCACATCCTACTTTCAGAGGGGAACTATCATACTGAAACACCTTTCTGTATGTGCAATTACAAACCTAACCAGACAGCATATCTCCAGTACTGTATCTGTCTTGGTCTAAATAGGGGTTGGTGTTAAGATGGCGCCTTCGTGCCACGTGTAAACAGTAGAACATGAGCAGACCCTTTCCTCACAATTCTTGGGTATTCTGCTCCCAGTTCCCTCTGCACCAGCCTCTGTCATGTCAGGTTGCTCAGCTTTAGCATTAAACGAATTCACGAATAAATACGAGCAAACGACGTCGACAGCGACGAGAGGAAAACGCTGAGAAAAAAAAAGAAGCTCGAGAAAAATAGAGAGATCAAAAGTGACTGAGACAGAAAGAGAGGTAGGAGTGTTGGAGCTCTTTCCCCGCCCCTCTCTTATCCTCAGATGAACTTATCGTGTTGCCTCATAATGTCACTGAGTTTTGCTCCTAGAGGCAGTCAGGCTAACTTCCTGCATTCAGCGTCGACATAGCTGATTGGCTGATATCTCGGCTGACCGGCCGCGGTTTGCAGCGAGGCAACAGGAAGTTTGTCTTCTCATGCAGGAAGCTGCAGCTGTTTCGTCCTGACACACACCACGTTGCACTCTTGCACACATACCCCTTGTGTATACATGCACACAAATGAGCAGACACACACGCCCCTGTTTAAAGAGGGGGCTCACCTATCTGAGTGTGTCTCGCTGCTGCATGTGTCTGTGTGCATGGCCTGCTCTGTGTGGCATTAGTAAATGCTATAACATGTGGGCGGGCAGCAACATGTCAGGCCAGGATTCTGAGCTATCAGAAACATTTGAAACCATGGTAACCACACATCTCATTAGCACATTAGCAAAAGCATAGACAAGTGGAAAAGAGGAGAGGGGACAGAGAGAGAAGATGAAGAGGAGGAGAAAAAAAAACCTTCTTTCTTATTTAATTCATGCAGAGGTTTTAGAAACACGCTGACGATCTGGGTGGTTGGAGGGTAGAGGAAATACACCAGAGTTACTTTTATCACTCAGTCACTTGTTTTCTCTTCAAGACATCAACTGCTATTCATATTTTTAAAATACACTGCTTGTGCCACGATAATGAAATACCGCAGCCTAAATCTAAAAATTGGAGAATGGCTTCATGCCCCGTCACCTGTCTAACTACTGAGCCATTTTTATGTGTTGATGTGGTTAAGATTGTTGTTGAACTCTGTGATAGTTAACACAACGGCTCCCTAAAGCTCGTGCCACATCTAGGTCATACTACCTTTTCGTCCACCACGTTGCCCGACATGTTTACTTAGCTCCTATGCCTGCCAGTTCAACATTTGTGTGTCCTCTGTCTGGCAAAACAGAGAAATGGATTGCAAAGGACTGGAAGCATTTCATTGAAATTAAGCAGTTTGGATCAGACAGTGTGAGCTTCAGGTCCAGCAAATGCGCTGCGTCGTCTCTCTGGTTGTGTGTGTGAGTACATGCATATGGCAGCGAATTTCTGTGTACTTGCATACATGTGAGGTCTGTGTGTTTGCGCCTGGTTAATGAGGATATACAGAGCACCGCAGCGGGCACCATGCCAAGCAGAATGGAAGAAGCCCAGCGCTCCTCGTCCCTTTAATGCAGGAATCGGGGCATTCCTGAGGGAGCGGGAAGATGAAAAAGCTGGTGTGATAAAAATCACCACAGCGCTTCAGAGAGGATCAGTAAGACTGGACACGAGTAAGACAAGACATCCGTTTGCATCTTTTTAACAGTGGGACTTCTTCATCCTGCCATCTATTGTGTGGCATACTTCCTCTGCCAACTCCAGCTCCCCCACCGCGCCTCCTCCTCCTCCTCCTCCTCCTCCTCCTCCTTTGCCCACCATCACCACCTCCTTACTCGCTTATTGAAATTCTGCCTGGCACACAGACACTGCCCATTCTTGGCACAAAGCTCAGAGAGGGAGAGGGAGAAAGAGGGAGTGGGAAAGGGAGAAACACACAAGAACCTGTACCAATCGTCTGGTGCCCCCTCCGTTGTGTCTGTGCCAAGCATTCATCCTGTCTCGTGGACCAAGGGACCAGGCAATCCAATAGGTATTTCCCTGCCTCTGCTTCCTGCGATAATCTGCTCCAGTTTTGAGGAGTTTTGTTGGCAAACGAGCGTGCTGTGTGTGTGTGTGTGTGTGTTTTGGGGATTTGCTAATTAATTTGCGTGTTTACGTTGTTTGCGTTGGGCGAGGAGTAAATCTTAACGAATCCCGCGTTCTTTCACAGCGGAGGGGAGGAACCTGAGGCCTGTTGTTTCCGCCATACTTTATATCTTCGGGGTTCGTTTTGGCATGGGTTTTGATTTGGTTAAGACGGCGCAGTGGTTCTTCTTTTTGTTGTGTTTTGGCTGCACAGAAAATTTAAATTGATGTTAGAAGTTTGTAAAACCTGTATTTGGCCTTTATTTGACCGTGAATAGTTTAGACATGCGACTGGATTCTCCTGGCCAGGAATCGAACCGTTGACATTGCAGTTATGTGGCATGTGCCTGATTTTCAGCATTATCCACAAAAAGAGCAGGAATAAATAACTTGATCGTAACAGCTCATCTTCATTGTTTAGCACGTTTCCTTATTCTTCCGATTTTACAGTTTTGGCAGCATTACAAACATTAAGTTATTTAACAAACATTAGATGCTGCATTCATGAAACATTATCAGCTATGGTCTTAAGTAATCAAAATTTAAAAAAGAAAAAAAAAAGAAGAAGCATCTGTTCAACATTTAAAGCGCTATAAACTGACATAAGGGTTTGGAAACTCAAGAAGAAACATGAGTGACAGAGAAAGATGACTGTGCTAAAGCAGGAAATTGCCTGCAGAAAAACATATCCTGGTTGGTCACAGCAGAGTCGTGTTATCTGAGGGCACGAGAGGACAAGGTCCTCGTTTCGTAGCTTACTCCGAATACCGCTAATGCGAATTTACTAACATGTAGCCATAAATCTGCCGTGACAGATGCACAGACAGTCTGATAGGCAGATGAGATTAGCTCAATAGGCCACATTTTTTTCCCTTTTCTCGTCTGTTCTTCAAGATCCTCTCAGCTGCCCCGAAGGCTCGAGGCGCATTTATTTTGGAGCTGTTGACAGAGAAAATGATTTTGCCCCAGCCAAGCCGTGAGTGGCACTTCCATGCGCCATAGAAAATGTGCACATTCACAGACAGCAGCGCCCAGTCGAGCTCACATGACCGACCGAGTTTGGCTTCGGTGTTTCCAAAGCGGTCGAGGGAGGGGGGGGGACGCCAATTTTTCGCAATTAACCCAGAAGCACAGAATTCCCCACCAGCATTTAATGTTGAAATCATTTATTTTTCACGCTCAGATGTCCCGTTAAATCTTCATTAATTTGACCTATTTCCCCGAGTACACTGTGTCATATCACTATTAGTCTGTTCGCCTTGTCCTTCCAAACACAGCTCCAGTCAGGGGACGTTTCTTGGCGACCGAACAGAGCTCATAGATCTGTCACTGGCATGGTGGCAGAGTTGGGCGTCCTGCCAGCGCACCCCTCCGCCCCCCCACCCCATTCTGTCTGTCTGGTCTTCTGTAATCAGACTAGCGGGGTCTACCGCATGCTAACTATGGGCCGGTCTGGACCGAGTCTCAGGGGTTGTGGCTGTATGCTAATTTATGCAAGCGGTGCACCTTCTAACCCCTCCGTGTCTATGTGAGGTCCAGGTCTGGCATTTAGTCTGGCACTCATTAACCCTTCGCTTGCTGCCATGTGAAACTGCTGGCCCTTCGTAACCTTTATCCAGAGTTTAGCAATAGTTTAGTGATTTCAGGGAAAAGCTGCAACTTTCATGAAGAAATAAATACCGAAAATCTGCTCGTTCAGTGAGAGAACTATTGATAAACGACAGGGACAGGTACACGCTGTATGTGATCGTACTTTTTTCTCTGTGAACTGTCCAGCTGTCTGATAAGTAACGTTAGAGTTTCCGTCTCACTCAGTACCCGTGATCGAGTGCGTCGTCTAGGACTGTTGGCTTCGTCTCAGTGCTTGGCACAAGATTGATTCTCCATCACTCCCGATAGAACAGCTGCTCTTTCTTCATCATGACACAGCAGGCTCAGTATAAAAAAAAAACCCTGAAAGGTAGACCTTATAGTGTTTTTAAGCAGACCTAAAATGGCCGATTTGCAAGACGCCATTTTGTGTTTCCTTGTTGTGTTTTGGGGGGCAGAATCCCAGCTTTGTATTCAATCAGAGGCAGCTGGTGGAAGCCATATTTGCAGGCATCTGTGTGTGTATACTTCCGTCTGAGAAGCAGCAGCCAGCCTACACAGGGATAGCCCACTGGAATGAGCTCAGTTTTTGGCAAAAACGGAAAAGGATTCCTGGCACAGAGTCGAGCAGCTCTTTTTTCTCTCACTCTCTCTCTCTCTCTCTCTTTCGATCACATGCCAGAGTCTCAGGAAGCCAGTGAGTTGTTTGTTGGGCTTTCACACATTAGTGCTCTCACTTTCCGATGTCCGCTTACCGTTAAATTATTTGTCTTTGATTTATTTCAACGGAAGACGGTTCTTAAAGACGTTCAGCTATGCAACTGAAAGAAACTTGACCGATCGGCGAGGATGTGCAAATATGCCAAGTCTCTGACGGTCCTCTTTGTTAAGAAGTGATAATTGTTCCTCCAAATCTTGGCAGCTGAAGACTTGTTGTCGTGAAGCAGTTTCGGCCATAAGTTGTGATTTTGAACAATTTCCAGGAAGCGGTTTAAAGAAAATCCGACACAGAGATAAATCGGACAATACAAGAACAGTCCTTTCAGTCGGGGTTGGATTTCAACACATCGGTTAAAAAATACTGCGGAAATATACGTTTCAAAAGTGACAATCCTGCCCAGTGTGTCCACTGAATGTGTATCAACGATGAGTCAATTAAGATAACCCTCTCTGTCTCTTTTGCTTTGTACCATTGCAGGAAAGTTACCTTTGTGGATCTTTGATGATGAAGCAACGTGGATGCTGTCCTTGGGGCTGAGGTAGTAGATTGAATAGTTGTGGGGTTTTGTGACCTCTTTTTGAGATAACTATACAATCTACTGTCTTTCCCAAGGAGACAGCTGAGTCAGCCACTCGCCGACTGTCATCTCCAGATGGGCAATCGTGCTGTCCAATCAAAAAAAACACAAAAAAACTCGCTCGCAGCAGTCAACATAATGCATTGGGACAACCTTCTATTTTTTTCTTTACACATTTTTCTCCCTAGAACAGGTAAATGAGTTTTTTCCCCCCCGCCTGATAGCTGAACCTGTGGTGTGCTCGATTTGGGGCTCTGACAGGGTGAGGTAGTAGGTTGTATAGTTTGGTGGGTGGGATTGCACCCTGCTCAGGTGATAACTATACAGTCTATTGCCTTCCCTGAGGAGCTCACTGGACATTGATGAATATTCAACTCACTCTCACGGCTCAAGTATTACATTTATTTTCAGACATCATTAAAAAAAAAAAAAGGAGCAGGAACATTTGTGCTTCAAAGGATTAGTTTAATTAACAGCAGCTGTTGAACTGACTGAAGCTGTCTAATGACCTGCTTTAAAATATGTACATCTTAAATAAAGTCACACTTGCCTCAAAACAGTTGTCCAAAAATCAGTGAATGGGATCTTGAAATTGTTTTTTGTCGCACACTGCTTTTCTGATTCCGACTGAGCAGCATCTGTTGAGTTTGTTAGTGTATGGCACACTCTAGTGGAGACACAGGAAATCGTTCTAAGTTTGTACCCAAATTGTCGGGACATCGAATGCCACGAGGGACCACGTATGCAAACCGAATACGACAGACTTTGAGAATTCAATCTCAACTGGGTATCTGCTCTTAAAATGACCCGCTGGTCCTCCCTCCCGATCTACCCATCTCCGTGCGATTGGCTCGGCTGCTCGTTATTGATCCGCGAACTTGCTTGTTCCCATGGCAACAGTTTAACCTCTCAAGGAAGCGCCTCCATATTTGACTGTAGGCCTGCTGGATCTTTGGGATGCGGTAGGCATAGACCACAGGGTTGACTGCTGAGTTGGCGTGAGACAGGAGGATACCTGAAATTTTGGGATTTGTTAATGTCATGTTTCACTACTGTTGTCATCTGGAAACAAATGATCTAAACAAATGATGAAATCTCTCAATATGAATAAAAAAAAACAACAACAACCAACTGCAGGACTACAAAAAGCACCATCACCTGCCTGTATAGAGGCATCCCGGTGTGACAGCGTGAGGACCGTGAAACAGCAGAAGACAGTTCATCAGGTGCAGAGGAATCCAGCAGCCCGCAAACAAAATGAGAACCAGAGCAAGGGAGCAGGCCAGCTTCTTCTCCCTGAGCAGAGGTGCCTGAGCTTGAGGGCAGCTCTCCTTCAGACGCCCCTGCAAGCTCCAGAAGATTCGAGTGTAGAGGATGGTCATGGCCAGCAGGGGTGCCATGACACATCCCAGGAAGTTGAAGTAGACCATGAAAGGGAGGGAGATAACTGAGAGGAAGGTGCACGGTGGAGTCTCGGAGGAAGTGGAGGACGTATTGGTGGAACCAGATGTTAGGGAGGAGTAGTTGTTCCAGCCAAACAGAGGGGTGAAGCCGAGTAGAGCAGAGAGTATCCAGCACATAGACACGGCCAGCCAAGTGTGTCTTTGTGTGGCCAGGGCTTTGTATCTGAAAATGTGGGATAAAAACAGAATCAAGGGATATTCACACAAATCAACAATTTCCACCAATAAATCAGTGCTGCAGAGTTCGGCCCTCACCTGTGTGGGGTGTGTAACCGCAGGTATCGGTCCACGGCGATAGCCAGCAGAGACAGCACGGAGGCCTGCGTCAGCACCAGCACCACACAGCTGAGCAGCAGGCACATCTCAGGGGTCACGCTCACCCACCCATCCAGCAGCACAGCAAGGGGCACAGCGGCCACACCCACCAGCAGGTCAGCCACCGCCAAGGAAACCAGGAAACAGAAGGTTGGCTCCCGGAGAGAATCCCGGATACCGAGACACACCGCGCAAACCACCAACACATTCCCAAAGCAGCAGGCCGCAGCAATCAGCACTTCCAGTACGGTGTAGGCCACCCAGCTCCAATCAGCCATCGCTGCAGATGGAGAGCAAAGGGCGGCAGAGAAGTTTGATAGGGCAAGTTTCCTTGAAGGCGACGTACAGGTGTAATGAATTCCACAGCAGCTGAAAAAAAAAAATCCAGCATAATCCAGAGTTTGTTGTTCAGAAAGCCTTTTGTTGTTTCTCAGCTCTTGGATTCAAATGAACACCAAAAACAATGTGCAGAAGCTTTTTATATGCAAACACGCACATGCGCCTCCGTGTGCACACACAACAACAGGCGCGCACTCCGTGGAGACCCCATCTGTATTTCATCAGTAAGTGAAAATCTTTTCCTCTCTCTGATAAATGTGCCTCAGAAGAGGGAAGGACTTCTGAATGAGCCTCTTCAGCTTATTTATACAGCAGGTGTGTTCAGTGGTGTTGGGGATTTTATTTTTTAAAAAATTCATTGGAAAAGTGGGCCACTCAGTTACAAGTCAAAGGAAAGGAGACGTGTATCATAAGCAAAATGTACTGGAGCAAATGAATCAAACGTAAAAACACTCATGCAAAGCAGCCCCACCCGAGTGTCATATATCCAAAGGGGTTATAATAGTTTATAAGGGTTATAAAGTTACATAACTGGATTGTTATTACTCATGCATCCATGTTTACATAGATTTTTTATTTTTTTTTAGTACCTCAGCTAATTTCAAGAATCACTTACTGGTAGATAGTTTGATCCATATTGTGCATCTTATTCTATAACTTTATGTTTTATATGTAAATCTTAAGTTGCAAGCAAATTAATAACTGTTGAAAATTGCATTTGAGTAAAAGGTATTCTATTTTCCTGTCCAGTGTGATGGAAAGGATAAAGCTGCATAAAATGGAAATATCTAACACAGGACGGGAATTAATGCAGTTTAATACTTGTTATTGAAAATATATCACACAAGCAAAGTTTGTGACTTAAGAGTAAATCTTTTTATTCTGGATAGTCCACATGTGTTGAATATTATGTAACTTGTCCTTGCGTCAGGTAACAATAAAATTACTGTAGTTGGCAAATTTGCACAAAAGAAAGTAATTCTCTGCATCTCTGTGTGTTTAGTGTGTGTGTGTGTGTGTGTGTTCTGCTCAGTGTGTGAGGAGGGCTTTTAGATGTTACTGATTAACAGGCCTGTTTGCGGTGGTGGTTTTCCAATGCATGCAAACTTTGCATACAGTTTTGGCTGCGGGTGTGTGTGTCTGTGTGTGTGTTTGTTTGCTCTAGTTTCTAAGCAGTTCTGTGTCATTGGGGATAATGTGCACGACACAGTGTCTCTTTGTTCATAGCTACCGGCAGGCACACGGCTACAGTACAGACATGCGTACAGTCAAGTGTTCTGAAAATAGTTTTTAATTTATTTTGACACAAACAGATCATGTTTGGTTAAAAAAAAAAAATCTTTAAAATGATACTGTATCTGTTGAAAATCCACAATACAGAATTATATATATAAAAAAACATAAAGACACAACTTTTATTTTTTACAATGATTTCATTACTACTTATAAAGTAGATATTATGTGACAACCTTTTAGATTTACATGTTAAATACCAGCTGACCTCTGACACGTCGCCTGTTCCTAAAGTTAGCGTTTTTCTATCAGTGTGGTCATTCCTGGTTCACCTCTCACACCAACTCCAATATGGTTCTCTATGTACAATAAGCTCTGGCCAGCAGTGTTTCATTTTCTGGCTTTTCAAATACTCAGTATTCATTTGTTATTCAAAATACCACAGAAGTAGATTCAGCAGAAAGGACATTGATGGGACATCAACAATGATTTCCCTCAATATCCTTTGTGCCTATTCTGTTTCTAGGCTAAAATGCCCTCTCCACCGTCCCTTCTACACTACACTGGAGTCTCCTCGCAGACCTCTCAGTGTTTTCTCATCGAACCGATAGGTGAGCTTCCTTTTCACTTTGTGAATCTCGCCGGTGCGGGAGTAGTTCCTCAGGGCTCTTGCCATCTTCTGGTACGTCATGGGCTTGCGATTCCCCTTTCGCCGACCCCAAAGTTGCGCCAGGCTCTCCTTGTTTTGGGAGGAGAACTGAAAGGTACCAGAGGAGGACTGGACCCACCAGATGCAGCTCCGCATCGACGGTGTCTGAAGCATCTCAAACAGGAACTGGAACAGCCGCTCCTTCCTCTTTCCTGCCGAGGAGGAAGGGGATGTAAACACAAAAATGAAGTGATAATGTCCGATACGTGCGTGTGTGCATGCGAACACAAACACAGACACAGTCGAGCATTTTTGTGTGGCTGTTAAGAGTTTTGTTGCCTATGTACACATGTTTGTATGTTATTGTACCTGACAGCGGTGCAAGAGGCAAAGAGTCCTTTCTGTCGCCCCTGTCGGAGGACGGTGATGGCGAATCTTGGTATTCCTGATACTGGGAGCTACTAGATTGTGAATCCGAGTCAATGTATGGAGTTGCCTCATAGCAATATGCAATGTGCTCCTGAAGTAAACGCAAAGAAAAACACACAAATTATTCACAAGTGTAACCATCTTCATAAATCAATCATTAAGTCAGTCTTGTGTTAGTCCAAATACCGCCAGGTCTGTCACAGGGAGTGACGTCTTGTCTGTAAAATGATAATTAAGCTAAAATGTACTTGGAGGTCCTTGAACTCACCCGCTGGTTGTCATGGGGACTAGGCCAGGCTGGAGGCAGGGCTTGCTCTTTGTATTCCTCGTTTGGAGTGTGTGAGTCGCAGTACCACTCATACGCATGCTGACCTGACCAGCTATTCTCTATTAAAAGACACACACACAGACGGTTCGGTCAAATCCACGCCGACCAACCACACAGAGAACCTCGTCGTCCATCATCGCCACTGACCTATGATCCTGGCGCCCTGGTGGGAGTGCGTTTGTTGCCCCATGGCGGTCAGAGCCGAGGTGGGCGTGCGCGCGGGCTGCACCTCCAGCGAATGCTCCTGCAGGTACTCCTCGATGACCTCCAGGTCCACCTCGGTGCAGGAGGAAGGCGTCGCTCCGCTCCAGATGCCCCGGCCTCCACCCATCTTGATCTCAGCCATGTAAGCCATCTGACAAGACAGAGAGCAGGACAGCAGCTTTCAGGCATCATATAGTTTTGCTTTGTTTCTTCTTTGTTCTGGGGTTGTTGTGTGATGCTGTGACATTTACCTCCTGTCATTTGCAGCCTGAGGCATCATTATCAGACCACAGACACTTTTGATTGAAAGGTACCTATTGTTGTGCTGTGATGCATCATAGTGTAAATAATTATGCTATCTGAAGATCAGAAATGGACTCATTCATCAATTTTAAATGAGTTTAAAAAAACAAACAAACATTAAAGAGTGGAGATCATTCTTGTTATATAAATATAAACAGCATGTATTTGTGAAACTCTTAATAACGTTCAACTTATATGAAATTGAAAGTGATGCTGCCTTTGCGTTGCACATCTTGTTTCTTGGACGACAGCCAGGACACAACAAAGTGACTGTGTGTATTGTAGTTTGACTGGCAAATTTATGCAAGTGTTTGTGTTTTCCTCAGATAACATTCAGGTAACAGTCGTGTGTGTTCCAGCTTTTCAGGTCTTTTACACTCAGCCTACGTGCATCTGTTACCGTCAATGAGATCAGATTTTAAGGCGCAGTTTGACTGAAACTACGAGCTGTCTATATATATATATTAATAATAAACACACTTGTCATTCATCAGTAACTAAAAATCTAACAAAAAACTACAAATAAAACTAAATTCAGACTCACCGTCTCCATTTCTGCCAGCATACTCGAAGGACAATCCTGGGAAAAGAAAACACCTCCATCAGACACCAGAATCCAAGCACAAAGCTTTCACAGACAAAAAGAGAGAAGTGAAAGAAGCTGTCACACAAACTTCTCGAAATTATCACACACACAGTCACACAACAAACAGACAAAACAAAGCAAATGAGGACATATTTGTACCTTGTTCAGTCTGAGGTGCCCTCCTGGTTCTGGTGCAGTGAAGTAGTATCCTGAAGCAGAAGCGGGTGGAGAATATAAACGCTCACCTGTGTGATGCTCCACCTGGACGTCCCCGTCTCTTATAGTGGTTGCACACACATACACCCTCCTCCACCCCTCTCATTGGCCGGTGAGTGCTGTTAAAATGGGAGTGGTTTGCAAAATAAAGGGTAATTCTGGCTCTTCTATTGTTTCTTAATAAAATGTAATCAGATTTTTTTTTTTTTGCTATTTAAAGTTGCATTACCGTAAGCTGTCATTGTCTCCGTCGCTCTTATCGTAACACATATTTAAATGTTTTGTTGGAAAAAACAGGATGAAAGTTGTTCTCATTTCCATTTCTTTTTAAAGCAGATTGTCTATTTCATACCAGAGCTTCAGTTAGTGTTTGTCACTTGTGAAGTTTTATTTCCTGGAACCAAAGTCTGTGGTGTATGTGTGTGTGTTTTTTTTTTTTTTGCTTTTGTTTGTTATCACTCTTTGTGCCACAGTGGAGATACAATGCAGGATAATGACGAGGCTTTATATGCTTGAATTTGGCTTTAAATTGTCGTTGTAATTAAACATGACACACTCATACATACAGATAGATGGAGGGAAAAGATGTGTATTAGGGGTTTTATGGCTTGTGTGGTTTTAGATCCACAAGTAGGATGTTTGCATTTTATGATGTTTTTCTTTGTATTCGTGTTAAATGATGAAACAGCTGGAATGTACATTTAAAAATTCAGCCCAGTACATGTTGGATGGAAAGGGGAAAAAACACATTTGCTTCACATATTTGCTTGCAGGTAAGACAGCAGGTCTATTTGCTAACATTGGAAGTGTTTGTAAAGGTGGTTACATGACAATACAATCACATGTTTTTAAATTTTACAATCCTATATTAGTGTGATATCTCCAAATATGAGAAATATGATTATTATATACAACACCAAATGAGGATATGCATGATAACTTGTTTATAATAAATTGTAATGTAGTTGTAAGACATACATGTATGTAATATACTTTCGCTTCAGCAAATACAACTTCTCTCATTAAAATATATGAATATAACTACATATGTGTTAAACTTTATTTTCTTTCTTTTACACACCAGCATCTAGCTTATATCCTTTGCAGACAACTGCATCAATAAACCCTTAAAAAAATCTGACATCGACTTACAATTCTAGCACAGTGAGCTATATTAAATGTGTATATACGGCTTATAAATGCTTAATAGGGCGGTAAAAAAATAAAATGTTACCCCGTAAGTCTAGTGTACCAGTTAACGATAGCACTTTATTTCTGATTGCACTGACAGCGTTACAGCACACTTATTCATCATCCACTCTTCCTGGAACGCAATGGCCATATACTCATTCGTCTCACAGATAGTCAACTCCAACAAGGGTTTGGAAAATAGTTTAACTTATGACACAGTTGGTGAGTAAAATTCATACAGAACTCTCCTCTATGGCTCAGTTCTGTGAACATTACTGTAACTCTGACATACAATATGCTTTATTCCCAATTAAACTCTCAACTGTCATGTAAAACTGACATTGTTCTTCATAAACCGCTGTGAGGAAGCAACAAGAGTTGCATCACACCGGAGGTTAGGAACGCATGACGTCATTCATAGCTCACTTTCAATGTATGCTAAACTGTGGCTCGCAAGTGAGCCTGTTCCTTTTTTATTGTCGCGTGTGTTATTATTTCAGACGTAGATTCCAGTACACAACCAGCGGGGTATGTATAGGGATTTCCCCAAAGCGTGTTTTGGTTTTTAACAACAACCTTGTCAACGTGATCGACTCAAAGAGCCATGTGCCGGGAGTCTGGATTTAAACGAGGCACTAAAGCAACTCTGAAACTTCTACTACAATCCAGAACTCTGGGGCTCAGAGTAAGAGCAACCATCAATCATGACATTAAAACTGAGTTAGAATCAAAGTCGGGAGGTTTTGTTAGTAGCAAAATTTACTTTTTTCGACCACAACTACTATTAAGCTTATCTGAGTGCATATTGTTGTCAGTAAAACTGTGAAAACTGAAAGCTAGAGCTGTCAATGTTCTCACACACTGCTGCTTTCTGTGTGGGCTTACGAGGCTTACAGTCCAAAGAAATACAAGTCAGGTCAGCTGCAAACTCTAATTGTTCGTAGGTGTGAACAGGAATGCCAGAGATTCTTTGTGCACATGTATTAACCTAATCATGGACTGACGACCTGTATGTGGTATTTTCTTTAATGCATGCTGGAACAAAGCATGCAAATGTTGACAGATGTACATTTTCGTGCAAAAAAAAATAAAACAAAGCAGGAAAGAATATTATTAAAATTGCCTCGGTGGGGTTTATGGCCTGATAAGCACTGTCATAATAAATCCAAATGCAGTGCCAGGAGCCTATGACCCTTTTTCAATGGATGATATACGACGTGTATGAAACAGGAGAGGCAGGGGGGTATTTATACCCTGTGCTCGACTCCTGGGTTGTCATCTCAACCTGATAAAAACTCAAAGTGTACTTACAGGAATGGGACCAATAACTTAGCACCTTGTCAGAGAGCTTAGAGATTCTTTATACTGAAATATTACCACAGACATCTGCAGTGGAAACATTTAAGGTACACAGAGATAATGGGTCATGGGGGTCAATATGTCAGAGTGTATCAGCAGTTATGTGGTTGGACTGCAGAGTTTATTGGTTTTCATACCACTTGCATTGTTTCCTTCTGATTCCGGGCATCAAAAATGTGTATATGCACTTGTGTCAGATTTGCTTATGTGTCAGCAGCTGAAACAGTAAAAGTAACCAAACGTGACAGACTGATCACCCAGAACACCGCAGATACACACTTGTGCTCATACTGAATGTGATGCACACATGCACAAACTGCCACACACTGTGATATGTAACCACTTTTGTGTTGTGTTGTGCGTCATGTTGGCACATGTGCAGTAAAGACACTTAGAAGCTGCTGATATTTTAACTCTGGTCAGATTGATGAATCTGATCTGAACGGTTTGTTGGTTTTTACGCACGTTGTTTGTTTACACGCTATCAAAGTACACTTTGGTTTTTTAAAGTGATTTCAGAAAAACCTGTTCAGCAAGGTGGAGAAACAGCTTCTGTAAAAGTGTCAGGAGTTTCCCGTATTCCACACGCACAATGTCACACCTTTTCGAACCCTCGGGATGCTAACCGTACACGCTAACCAGATGAAAGCACAAGTAACAAACAAAAGCACGGACGAGGCTGTAATCTTTACGATGCAGGGGGACATTAGTTGGTGCATCTAACATTTGCTTACACTGCAAAAGTTATAAATACCTACTTCCCATTAGGGTAGATATTACAATGGCAGCGCCTCCTCATCCCTGCGATCAGGAGCATAATTCTGTTTTATGAGCCTTTATTGGCAGTGACGCTGCTGCTACATTTACATTTTTTATTTTTTTGTGGTACAAACTGACATTGTGGCAAATATATGACACATCCAAGTGTTAATTGTAATCCAGTGTCATGCCTTTAGAAGTGTGAGTTCATTACCTGCACACACGCTTATATGAGCAACCACCAGATTAATTGCAGAGAAAGTTGAAGTTGTAGCTTTTGTATTACAACTGTAGGTCTTGTTAAGGTTTAATTCAGTAGATCTGGTCAGTTAACAAAGCCTGAGTGGCTTTTCAAATAGAGCCAGACATACTTATTTGATTTCTTGACTTTTTCTTGTAGCACTGTTGCCTCGCAGCAAGAAGGTTGCCGGTTCGTGTGCGTGGAGTTTGCATGTTCTCCCCGTGCAGTGTGGGTTCTCTCCGGATTCTCCGGCTTCCTCCCACACAGTCCAAAAACATGTTGAGGTTAATTGGTGATTCTAAATTGTCTGTAGGTGTGAATGTGAGTGTGCTTGGTTGTCTGTCTCTAAGTGTAGCCCTGTGATAGACTGGTGACCTGTCCAGGGTGTCCCCTGCCTTCACCCTAAGTCAGCTGGGATAGGCTCCAGCCCCCCCGCGACCCTAGTGAGGATTAAGCGGTGTGTAGATCATAGATGGATGGATAATGGACTTTTTCTTGTCTCATCAACATGAAAACATCCCTAGTAACCTATTAGAGAAGACTGTCGATGTCCATAGGTAGCAAAAATCCCCTCTCCAAACCTTATAATATCATAGTGTGTCTTTTTAAAATCTTTACAAAAAGGAAGGTGTCACAACATATTGTGATTTATTTTTTGCAAGGTTATTTTACGCATTGGACTACTTCATGGCCGGGTGCGGTAACCGTCTGGAGTCTCAGCTGGTTGTGAGGCAACTTTAGCAACGTTTGTGCTGAGCGATGCTTAGTGGATGCTCCTGGTAGCTTCACGTCTACTGTGCAGACCTGAGAGTGATATCAATGTTCTAACGCAGCTCTAGGCATTAAAGTGAGTAGGAGTATTTAGCAAAGTGTTGAACTTTTTCCATCAAGGTCAAAAATAAAAAGAGACAGAATCTGTGCACAGCAATGCACAGCGGTAACAATTCAGGGGGCTGCAGTGGTTGGGGTAAAAGTCAGAGGCAGATTTTGTTGCTGTGATATTGGGATCAATCGTAGTAGAAGTAGTACTAGTATTTGTGTTAGATGTAGTAGTATGGGTGCAAGTCGTCGAAGCAGATGTTGCAGTTTGGTATTAGTTAAAGGTGCAGCATGCACACTGTGAAAATAAAGATACTTGCAAGAGCTTTTCAAAAGCCGTGATAAACGTGTTTGGAAAAACCCTGATCATTCAGCGAAGGTGACGGTTAGGATTCATATAAGTCAGCCTGCACCTGGAGGATTTAGAGGCGGTGATAAGACAAGTGAGACATTGGACCCGCGTAGTTAGGAATACACACAAAGAAGCAGGTGAAACCCGAGAATTGTTGCTTTACCAGAACATGAATGTGTCGCGCTTATCTGATCTGTGTTTTTGGAGCTGCCGTAAAAATGTTGTCAGTCCTCTTTGATAGGAATGAGCGGGGAAATGCGAGCTAAAAATAAGTGTTTGCATCTAAAAATAAACTCTTACCTTACTGAGGGGAGGGTGAGGACTTTTCGATTAGAAGTCGATTATAAGAAACGCTCGAGTGAAAGGGGACAAACGAAGGCCAAGGGAATGAGAGTCCTTTGCTTAATACAAAAAGTACTTTTGTTGTTACTAGAGTGACACAACAGTATATTACACTACATCAGTGTATTAACCTTATGACAGAAAGCTGTGTACAATGTCTGGTTGTCAGGCAAGGAAAAGGCGATTACTGTCATTTTTTTGCAGTTAACAATCATTTTAATTACATTTGCATATTGCTGAGCGTGCGTCTATATGTGAGATTAGGAGGGATTTATTCAGCTTTACACTTTCTGTGTGACGTCTGAGTCACTTGCGGTGTTTAACGGTCACAGGTGAATCGCAAAACTCATGGATACACACACACACATAAACATTTCTCGTTGACCATTAGTGTGCGAGGCCTCGACGCAATTAAGATAGGGCTTTTAATTGGGGCTTAAAAACGCGGCCATCGGTTACTGATGAGTAAGGGGCTGTGCGTTAGTTAGTGTGCGTGAGTGTTTGTTGCATGTGTGTGTCCGTGTGTCCAGGTGTAGTGGGTTTACAGTTAAAGCCAAACCCCCCAGATTAGTGAACATATGCAAATAACCTGTACACATGCAGGTTACTGGGAATTCCCCGAACGCCTCCACGAAAAAGGTGTGTGTGTGGATTTTTGTGTGTGCGTCAAGTGATAAGTGACAGAAGATGGTCGCGATGAACAAACAGCGACATGCACAGCTTACGGTAAAATAATCGCGAGTTACATACTTAGTGGTCAGCAGTGCGCACATATTTGATTTATTCAGTTTTTATATAGCTTTATTAAAGGGGAAAACACATTAATTGCTTTAATACAGGTGCACATATAACTGTAGCTAATGCATGTATTTGTGTTGGGGTTAATGTTACACCTGATGATGATTTGAATGATTCATAGGAGGCAACAGTTTTTTTTTTTTTTTCAGAGTCCTGACTGATGTTCACACCCATGGGTA